ATATAGCCGAAACATGTTGTGTAAGTTCCATATGTAAATCGAGTACTCGATAGGGAACATAATATGATATTTTAATCTTTTAATCTTTTAATTTTATTGTGATTGACGGTTATTTTTAAATATTTAAATATTTTAATTCTCTTGTTATTAAAAATCATGGTTTTGTGTTCCTATTAAACAAAACAGATTTATTCAAATGCAAGAAAATAACACCTTTTATTTTGTGTTAATTAATGCCCATTTCTTAAACAAGCAGATAATTCATAATGATCATTGAAAAAATAGTAGTAACATAATTTTATTCAACACTGCAATTAAGCAAGTCATTTCTTTGCACGGTTATTCCAAAATTGTGTGCTTGAAGAAGAACAAAAAGTTTACAAACCCAGAATGTGAACTGTTCCAATTTATTACTCAAAACCTAAAGTCAATTTATATACACTAAACTGACACTAAGAACTATTACAACTATAAGAGACAAAAAGAATTGAATGGACCTTTTAGCCCTACTTTCTGCTGCAGTATCTCTTCAGGAATGTACTTACTGACTCGAGGTTAAAGAAATACTGTTAACTGTCAACATTAAAAGAGCAGTTTTTTCAAAGACTATATTACTTACAAACTTTTCATATTTGTTGGTTTGTTATAACCTGCCCATTATAAACTCTGGGTTATTCTCATGATTATTTTAGACTGTCCTTGACGTCTGATGTACAGTCCTCTCGATACCTCGGACGCTTCACTAAAGTAATTTACTCTGATATACAAAATGCAGCTTATACTTAACTTTAGCCAATAAATAAGTACTAATAAGTCTTTGAAACATAATAAACACACATCAGCTACACCATGTGGTCGAGGTAAATATATTTAACTATAATCTTCACAGCGTAAATGAACTCGGTGAGATATCAGGTTCTCACAGTGGCAAGTATGAAGATGAGTTTTCTGGGAAGTCATGTAATCTGGTAGAAAATTACCAATGTTTCAGAGGTTTATGGTGCCTTCATCATGCTGATGATGGAGGCAGCAACCACCTCTAAGATGCCAGTAAACTTATACCAGACTACATGGCGCAACATCCCAGAAGAAAATCATCTTCAAGAATTATGTCTTTAGAAAGGATCCTCAACTATGTTATAATGGTGGTGGTGGGGGGGGGGACAAGTCAAACACTGCAAGCCCTGAAACAAAGCTGCAGTAAGTATATGCAAGTAGCAGCAACAATAACAATCCAAGATGGAGTTATCAGTGACAATGTCATTATCAAACTGAATATTTTTGTGACATAAGCAAATAGAATGTAACATAATTGTACATGAGATTCACAGATTTTACTTGAGAGCCCGTCTATCATTTGTATAAGAACAAGAAGAGAGATTAGTTTAGAGAAAGCTGTTAGGATGTTAGTATTTCAAGTCTCATGCAGTTACTGTCGCCGTCTGAAAGAGAAACATGCCATGTTTCACTCCAAGCAGAGACAAACACGTACAAAAAATAACCTCCCACAAGCTCAAATTTACATGTGAATAAGCCTCAGAATAAAAATACACAAAAACACTACTGTGGGGCACAGAAACATTTCATATCACATTTAAACTATGACTTTAATACTTCTCAACACAAGCACAAAAATTAAATTCCACATTTTCCACAACTATTAAGCAGAAGACATGATAACAAAAACTAACTACCTTACCCCATGGAGTGTTTTCCTTAAGAAGCTTAAAGTCACTAAACTAGTCAATAATTTCCCCACTTATGGAAACCAAAGAATTATTATCATGTTCATGAGGGTGGTCAAACATGATGAAAATAAAACTGTTTTTTTTTATAATTCAGAATGGCACCACCAAAAACCAAAATTAATATTATCAAATTTTTGCGTAAAATAAGCAAATATTGGTAACAACATGAGAACAATACATCACATAAGCTTGACAAAAATGCAGTTCCATGAAACTTATTTACAGAATGCACAGTAGTTAATTCTGTTTTCAAAGGCCAAAGTGCAAAAGCTGTAAGACCTTATGATTCACTGCAATGATCTGCAATCAAATTACTTATGAATTGCACTTTAAGAAGATAACCCTCTCACTTTGCACTTCCATTTCTAGGGCACATGACCATGAGACGAACTTGATAAGCATAGAGTATGTTTTACTTACATAATGGTTCAACATCTAAAGTTTATAGAGCATTGAATGATGAGAGAATTGTGAATAATGAATCAAAAAGGATGTGACAGGAAGTGCTTGTTACCTAATTAAGATTTTAAGGTATTACACATACATTTTTGGTCTCTGGGATGAGATTTAAACCTAAGACCTGTTAAATATGAAGCAGGAGTGCCAACCTCTCAGCCAGCATCACTTCTTACTGTGTAATAATCTGCATCTTCCACTGGGCCATGTAACTATAATTTCAGCTCTGTTCTACCTACATCACTTGCTGTTTTCATTATCCGATTGCTCTTCAGACTACGTCATTGATAAAACTATGATTTTTTCCCCCAAGGTACTTTTTTCCTACATCTTCAAAATTTTCAAAACTACACTAATTTAAAACAAAGGGATTATGTTAATCTTTTTTAATATCAAAATATATTCTGACTCTTTAACACAAACCCCACACTAACTTTAACAAAGCATGTGTATTAACCTAAGTACATCATATTAACCCAATATTTATTATTTAGCTATGAAAACCATTTGGTTCCGAATGACATATACCTTTGATTGTATTACTAATGATTATTACATACACCACCATACTTATGCTCTTAAATCCTATTACCATCTATAAACCAGTCTTCCAAGAACACACAAGGTCATAAGCAAGACAACAGGAATAAGAAGCAACAAGCCAAATCCAAACCAGGATACTTATTTTCATAAATCTATCTTCAAACATAGCTGATAAAATGTCAGTATATATCATGAGACCTAATTTGCATAAAACATTCGAACATATGTGTTTTTGGACAGTATCAACTGTTAAAAAAATCTGAATCTTCCATCATGTTCATGTAGTGGCTATAGAATGTTTTGGTGGGGAAGTTTACAATGTCAACACTAAAGAATGCAATATTTCAAATGCTAGCACAACTGATGTTTTTTTTATCAAGAAATTGCATTTCTTTGTGGTTTATTTCATGATGCTGTCAGCAACTCAAGGCTATTTTATGTTGAATGATGGTATTATAAACAGATAATTAACTAGAATGGATATGGCCTAATTTAAGGCACTATATTGGCATTTTTCTGGAAGGGTGAGAAAAACCACACAAAAAACTGCTATTACAGCTAGCTTTTGGGCTAAGATTTGAAGGTCTTTTTGTAATACTGTGTTCAAAATAATTATGTATCTTTTGTATAAAATGTTTTGCTGTCAACATGATGTAGCTGAATAGGAACCAGGATACAGAACAAGCAGATTATGTCAAGTTCCAAGAAAATAAAGTGTTCTCATGTGCTACTTTGTATGGAAACAAACAGTAATCAATATTTTATTGTTATATTGCATTTCTAAAAGGAAAAATTCAGTTTCACCTACCCATTTTTATTAAAATAAATGAAAAAATGTTAGGGAAATGTACAAGGAAATATGGTATATTAGTGGGTCAGTCTGTCAATGAATGTCTACCAAACAGAAACATATGCCAACTGGTGCTATGCTCATGACAGGCAGACTGTGAGAAAATCAAACGTTTACAAAGAAAAACTGTAAACAGTAAGCTGAAAGACAGCACAAATGTATGATAAAGTGTCCCAGTCAATTAAAGCAGACCAAAAGCTAAAGTTAAGTGACTTGCACTTTGATATAGTAATTCTCTTTAAATATACTCTCGGATATTCTAACATGTCATATGAAACCTTGTATGGATCTTGCAAAGACTGCCCACACAAACCACTGCAGTGCAATATAAAATCTGTGTACTCACGAAGGTATGAGTGGTGGTGGCAGACCCGCTGATTGTGGCCGTCCTGGCAAGGAAGGAGGCATACGCTGACTCATATCAGGTCCTGGGCGGTTAGGAATGGCAGGTGCTGGACGACCAGTAGCTGGAGGTGGAGGAGGTACTCGAGAACCTGGAGCTGCAACAGGCTGCATGGGCATTGTTCGGCGTGGGCCACCTGGTGAGGGTGGTGACAACCTATACAGAGAGGTTGCACTTACAGACTCAGATATATCTGTTTCTCATAGGTATATTCACTTCAAAGTTTGTTCCTTTGTCTTAAAGTGAGGAAATAACATAAAATGGAAGTAGGCTAATTGAAAATATGCTTAAGAAAATACTAAAAAAGATATACCTACTCCTTCTACTCACTGGACTAGCGAGATCAAATGTGTTGCCATTACCATCTTACACTTTGCATCTTTTTAAGAGTAAACTCACACAGTTTGTAAACATATAGGCATGTCATTTGTACTGTTTATGAACATACTGCTTAAAAATATCCCCCCCTCCAAAATATAATTACTTTGTTCATTGCCAAATGTTGATAGGAGTTGGTAATATTTTACATAGGCATCATTTAGCATATCAAAGTTTTAATTTTCCATAATCCATCATAATTTTCTCATTGTTGTCCAGGTCATTTTAATTTCAGATGATTTTAAAAAAATGTTTTATTTTGTAACACCACCTCTGGCAGAAGTGTATAAATTCTGACTTTTAATCCAAATGCCTGGGAGATTTTAGTTCAGACTAATACTTACAACTCAGTCCATACAGAGTTTATATGGCACTGTGGGTGAGATAATTTTATCAGGGTATACATTACCTGACAAGATCAATGTACAAGAAATTAAAAAAAAATCAGAATTCCTTTCTATATTAAGCAACATACCATTACAAAGAAACAGATTACCTTGGATTGTCCAATCCTGATGCCAGCCAGTCATTCTTAATAGGTGGTGGAACTGGTGTTGATACTGTAGCCATTGATACATCACCAATTATGCAAAGGGCCTCCTTACAGGCATGGTACATCCGCATCATCTCCTCACGTTTCAGGGCCTCTTCTGGGCTTTCCTCCATCATCTGTGCCTGTTTCAGGAAAAGACCATTATTAACAGTTACACATTACATATGGTACGATCAGACAGTAACAAAAACGAACTTACAACTATCACAATTAAAAAATCAATTAAATTCTTTAAAATTCTCCACGTCCCTCCAGTTAAGTGAAATACTGCTCTCGTACTATGTGTGAACTACCACTACAATGTCTGCTGCATTTTGAGATGAAAATTTCCTGCTAATCCCCAAGTGGGGAGAGGGGACTGAAAAATAGATAATAAATTCACACATTTACTTACTATATACTCTTCAATAAATAAACAAATTAACAAGTAAAAATAATTCATTGAACTTGCTGGACACAGTTCAATCCCTTGTGCCCTACTTTAAAAACACAATAGATGGTCTTGGAATTATATTTAATTGGTCAAAAAGTCAAAAACTGTGGTGGTTCTTCACATGTCACTGCACAATAGTCAGATTTGTTATTTAATATCTATGTGCATAATACACAATGTTCAGTAATTGCTTGGCTGGTTGGGGAAGTTGCACTGTGTAGTCTGGTAGAAGCTGATTGAAGTTTCAGAAGTGTTTGCTGCCTCAGCAACATTGCTAAACTGCTACCAAACCACATCATCCCAGATGACAGACATTTTCATATCTGCTGTCATGAAAACCTGAAATCTGACAAAGCTGGTCCTCTTTCTCGGACCAATAGTTGAAAATAATAGACTCCCCCCTCCATAAAATCAGGGATACATTAACAGGTTAATGTATTAATTTTACCTGGTCTCCAGAAGCATATAGGTGTGCCAGAAGTTCACCATTGATGAAGTCCTTTGCATTGTTGATGATAAGCATCATAATAGTCTTAGGTACAAGGTCACGAGTAGTCTTTGTCACAATCTTCATATATGAGTCCACAAGATTACGTATTGTTTCCACTTGCCGTTCTAGCTGAGGGTCCATTGATGAACTACTTTCACTACCACCCTAAAAAAATAAAGAGAATCATCAGCTTAAGAATATCTGACATATGAAGCTCTCATGGTGGTGACTGATGTCAATTGTGGTCTTCTTGGTTGTGATGCCATGTGATCTTGCAGGTGGTTACCAACTTTTGAAAGAATTTACCATCTCCATCTCCTCCCTGAAAATGAAAGTGACATGTTCCTCCAAAGCGTTTCTTTGTAACTGTCTACAACACCACACATCACCACAACCCAAAAGATAATGCTGAAGATCAGCCTAACAATAAATTCACATTAATTTTATCAGTAACTATATTTAACAAGAATTGGGTGCATACAAGCTAAATTAAAGTGTACTGGTAATGAACTTAACCTGACAAGGAAAACAAAAACCTTATGAAGTTACAGTCATTGATACAAACTGATAATTATAAACAACCAAAATAGACTTTGAGTTTATCTTAAAATAAAAACATAATGAAAGTAGGATAAAATACATGACTGAAATTTCAGGTTTTTCAGCTTCTATGCCTATAAATGACCTAAGCAATGTTACTTTCAGTGCAAGTAGCCACAGACCAGTAGAACAACAAAAACTAAATCAACTTAACCTTTTTCACATCCACACCAAGCATCACAAATATAATGGTGTTTATTAGTAATAAAGCCGATGTTAAAGAACTAAAAAAAGTGCTACATTGATTGTACTTCAATTTTTCTGAAACTGTATGCAAATATACACTTGTAAATGTGATTTTAAATGGTAATAAATTGTCACTTATTTCAAGATTAAATAAGAACTTATTCCCTGATTTCCAAAATCCACTAAATATTGCATCTGGTACATACAAACCACACCTAAGCCTGAAGAAATTCAATACAAATTAAATACTACATAAACTGTGATTTAAATTTACAAATGCAAACATGCTTAAGAATGAACAAATTTAATATAAATTAAATACTATATAAATGTTCATGGTTTTACTGATGGCCTGATTTTGGTAAATCCAGAATTCTTGTAACTCCTTAAACACTGAGGTGGTATGTTCTTTCTTCTGCTTGAAAGTCCTGAAATGTACCAACTGGGGAAGGTGTGGTTTCGTAACACACAGAAGCAAGTGATATATGATACAAATGCCCAAGAGTGTAACATTTAAAGAAAATCTAAATTTACATGTGCATATAAAAACTTGGGCAATAAATGCCCCATGGTCACCTTTCCAGGACATGGGAACTAAAATTCAGGACCATCCAGAAAAAAACAAGGCATATTAAAGCCCCAGATAGCAATAAAATATCAGTATTTGGCAATGAAAACTATATTTACAAGGAACAAATTTTATAACAAACCACATGAATAAGTATAAACCTTATCTTCAGTTGAAGTAGCTGTATTATGAATTAAGCTTACCAAAATTCAATACAACACAATTTGTTTTATAACCCCCAATCTTTCTACAACCCAACATACCAAACAAGACCAATATGTTCACTGAGATTAAGGTAAATTAATTTATTTTTTGTGTAATACTATGGTATTAGCTTTTGCACTTTCATTTATCAATGAATAAACAAGAATTATAATATAATAATGTAAAAATTAAAAACTAATGAATTTAACCTAAAGTACTTGTTTTAACAAGCTCTACTCTGTAGAAAAACAATTTTCATATTCTAGTGTTATTTAAAATAAGCTATTAGTCATATGATTTGAAGCTTCTGCAGAGACTACATTCAATAAAATCGTCTCGGGCAATCAGCCATGTCAAATGGTTACACGAAGAAATCAACGTTTCGGGAACCATCTCTGTCCCCATCATCAAGGTTCTGATGCGACTGAAAACATCTAAAAGTTGGTTTCTTTGTGTAACCATCTGATGCGGCTAATTGCCCAAGAAGATTATTTTACTGAATCTATTAGTTCTATGCTGCTAGTACTACGAGAAGCATGAGTACCACAATGGCAGAACACAACATGCTACAATCCTCTGGAGCTGAAGTACTGATATTGAACAGGCAACAAGTTGAGGCAACTACAGTACAATAAAACGAGGGAAACATATTGCAGCAACACACAAAAACAGAACACATGAGTCAGTCAAGCGAAAGTGTTGCAGACTATCTTATTACCTCCTAACACACTAACACGATGTCTGTGTTATGAAATGAACTCGCTAGACAAACAAATTCATACATATAAAAATGTTTCTAAAAAGCAGTGTGACAAAGATTATTGTACCTTTGGAGCTGTGTCAATGAACGTAACACTTTTCAAACTGCATGAATTTCATTTGACTGAATGACACTGTCCATAATCTACAAACTACTGCATGGAATATAGATATATTCTAGAATGCACAGTACACATTAGCACTAATACAAATGAAATGTAAAAAAAACATATACACACAATGCAGTACATATAATACTTCCAAAACTAAAAATCATACACATGTTTATCCATTTACTTAGCAGAATTTCTATGCAATCGTCATTATAACAATGTATTCTTCAGTCAGAAACACCAGAGTCAACAGCACACACAAGCTTTCATTTATACAAAAAGTAATCACATGGAGACAAGTCTGGGGAATAAGGGAAGCACACAAACACTCCCAAACCCAGACAAGCTTCATTCCTCACAATGTTGACAAGATTTTTAACCATTGCTACATATCATGTGTCATAGATGGCAGAAGGTAGTATGTACTCAAGACAAGCTTCTTGACTTATGGATTTTGAGTGCCCTAATTGCTTTGTGAAATTAGTATTGAATATGCTGTGTCTTGCTACAATTAATCAGTTTACACAGAGATTTCAAGAAGTGAAAATGACATTCACTTCAAGTTACTCAGATAAATGTCCATGTAAACAGTACATTCTCTCTTAACCTACCCTAACACATAAAATGTACAGTAATATTTTTCATCCATAAACAGTAGTGTTAGTATTTAAATGGGTAACCCCCTGCCTAAAGTGGTCACTTGAAACATAAGTTATAGGGTCCATTAAGTAAGCTGCTTTAAAGTATAGAAACACTGTAATGTCTTCTGTTAGTGACTACTAAAATACAAAAGACCAGTTGTATTAAAATGACGATGTTGCACAGAATGGATGCCAACCCACCTCAAATCAGCCCTGATATTCACCACACGAGGTAAAGTAGCATTCTTTTTTTTAAACAGATGTATTTATACCACTTCTGAGCAAAGAAATTTAAATTTCATCTTCCAACTTCATCTTTCACTATGTGAAATTAGTAATTCCGATAATATTTCTAAATTAACGCAATATTTAAATCAGATATGTGATTTTTGCACAAATATTTCTATCCCTTTTGGTGTATAAGTATGCATACACACATAAAAAACAGACTTAATAAAATCTGATAAAGCTGTATCTAAAACTTGGGAGGATTTTTCTCGTGCAGCTCCACTAACAATTGTGTTTAACAGCCTCATAAAATCCCCCAATAAATAATAATTACCCATTCCTGATATAGAAAATCTTGGGCTTCACTAATTTTACTGCCACTGGCAGCGCAAAACAGAGGGAGAAATGAAATGTTACTGTTTCCATTGTTCATTTACTCACATATATGAAACAAGCAGTTATCAGGTAATAACCATTCTGAATTATCCATTTTCAAACATTAAAAAAATATAGTCGATGTGCTGTCATAATAGTTATTACTACATAAGTATTTTATAATCATACTAAATGTTTAATCCAAAAGAATATATATTTTGCTCAGTATGAAGGGCTTTAGTCAAATGCAAGACATACTGACTTACGCTCTTCTCACTGAGCACAAAAACAAAAAGACATTGCTCTGGTGCATTTACATTTATAAATACTGCATGCAGACATGAAAATATGTTACCTAAAAACTGCAGCATTAGTAACAATAAAATGGTTTCCTACAATACAGAATGTGCTGGATGCAAAAAAATTCATCTCAGTGCACACACTCCTACAAGTTTAGGACTCAGACGAAAAGTGACAAGGTTCAATATCAACTACAGTATGTCAAGGATTAGTCATGCCAATTTTAAGCTACTCTCCCAGCATTTGCCTATAGAAAGTCAATTTCATAATAGCTATCTGAGGATTTGTTGAATGCAGATAAATCTCCTAAGACCACATTCTGTGTTCTAAGACTGGTCCCAATTTGTTTTCTGCAATGTCAAAAATTACTACAGGAATCATAATCAGGGTAACTTACAATTCCATAAACATATGCAAAATTTAAGAGTCTTAAGAGCCTATCAGAACAACAGCCAAGTTGTCAATGGTCATCAGGGTTTGGATGTCATGCTGTTTTGTAGGTGGTTACCAATGTTCCAGACCACATTCAACATTTACACCACCATAAGACCAACATCTCAATAGCCAAGCTGTTAAAGAAAATAAATCACCCCTTTCAAATAATTCAGACCACAATACATTTTGGCCAAAAGATTGTTATATTATTTTGCAGTTATTCAAATTGGGTTAACATCCCTTTTTATCCATGTATAAAACCATAAAAACCTAACATAATCCAGACATAAAATGAAATTCATAGAAAACAATATTCTATTATGAATGACTTCCATCTGTGTGTCAGTTATCCCAGAAGGATTATACATATGAAAAGAAAGAAGAGTGGCCCATTTTATTATGTTGGTGTTACATTAATTTCACAAAAATACAATTCAAGTTAAATTTCATTTATAATATTCGGAGAACACTGGTATTTTACCAGAACATGAAGCAAGTCTTTCAAATGACTGATAAAAAAATTAAATACAGCAAATCTGTGTTGTAACAATTATTCATGCATTCTGACAAAGGCGAAAAAATGCAAGTTCGGGAGATCCTATAGTTCTGATTCTGTTACATGTATTCTTTACAGACAGATTATTTTCATTATATGGTCTGAAGTTTCACTTCATAGTATTTCTACACCACAGCAATTACATATGAGCAGATAACTAAATTCCATCAGAACCCACCACAACCAACATCTTCCCAAAGATGTGCTTTACTTTATGATTCCCAAGGCATATGCTGGGTTACTGAATACAGTCCCAATGGACACAGAAGTGCATCATGCGAAGTTGCTCAATATCCTTAACATCACTACTCATAAAAAACCACGCCTGCACAAACCTCATATCCTTCCTGCAAGATTGAGATAAAAAACAGAAGTCAGTCAACTTTTTTGCAGATATGTAAGACTGAGAGGCAGATTGTTCATGTTAACCACGTCAGCCTGCATAACACTTTTAAAAATAAGATGTCTTGTTTTATTTTTGTGATTTACTAGTACTCCATACACCAGAACAAAGAAGAATAAATAAGATAAAATGCATTGTTAGCCAGCCAGTCAATTTGAGGCTATGCTTGTGGTGAGTGTAATAATGTCTCACTGGTTGAAGCTGGCTAACAATGCATTTTGTCTGATTTGCTCTGCTGTGTTCCAGTGCATGGAGTACCAATGAACCCCAAAAGTAAGCCAGACAACTTTTTAAATTTTGTTTTTCAAAGTGTCAACCACACTAACAGTTAATATAAAAGCTCTGCCCCTGGTAACACCATATTCATAGCATGTTTTCAGATATTACCTCCTTTCATTGAATTTCTATGTACATAACGAGAAACAACCTTCAAACACAAAGTACAGTTTCTAAAGTTCCTTCTTCAGAACCCTATTAGCAAGCTGCAGATGTATCCATCCTTTTGCTGTCTCAGGACCAAGGCTAGCTCTTACCAAGACATAAAATGGTTACCTGATGATAGAGACATATTCAGTTTCCAAAATGTCATGTTTGAAAAAACCTATGACAATGGGCAACATCCAAAATAATAATAATAATCATGTTTATGTCCAGATGAAGTCTGGGCTATATCTGCTTCAGTACCATACCACATAGAGGTAACAGTGAGTGGAGATAACTTTGGCGACAAACAGACATGACTAATGAGCTCTCATGCTTGTGACATCTTACTCCCAGGGGAAAGCCCCCACCCCAATGATCTTTCCACAGGAAGCTGGATATACTCCATAACTGATCTTGTCCT